TGTGGCGTTTGGGGTGGGTTGTTTGGTGGGTTGTTGCGGGTCTCTTTCTCTCTTTTCTCTGGGGCTTGTTTTGTTTTGTTTTTTGGGGTGGGTTGGTTATGGGAGTTGGAAAGGAAATCATCCCAAATGACCCCCAAAGAGGCAAAAAACAAAAATATCCTCAAAAAATGAAGTTTCCACTGAACGGAATCCGGGAAACTTTGCTCCGTTTGAGGATCCGAACCGAATTCGGTTTCCCCGACTACATTAGGGGGGTCCCAATCCGGATGTCAAAGCTTGGCTATGAGAAAAGTGCATGTGGGGGTGTCTATGGAAGCAAACTGGGGAGATCCCAGTTGTGATAGAGTCCATTGACAATACAAACTCTTCCCAATCCGACAGAAATCCTATCAAGATCTAGTTTGTGGTGAGTTTCCCGGCCATGTTCCAGAAGCATTCTCTCCTGACGTTTCGCCTACATCTATTAATTGAGTGAACGTCTCCTGACGTTTCGCCTACATCTATTAATTGAGTGAAGATAATTCATGTATGTGTGTGTATGCCTATATGCACACACAAAACTCTCTCTCTCTCTATGTGTGTGTGTGTGTAAGAAATCCTCTACTGGGTTGTTGTAGGTTTTTCAGGCTATATGGCCATGTTCGAGAAGCATTCTCTCCTGACGTTTCGCCTGCACTTATTAATTGAGTGAAGAGAATTAATGTATGTGTGTGTATGCATATATACACACAAAACTTTCTGTAGGTTTTTCAGGCTATATGGCCATATTCGAGAAGCATTCTCTCCTGACGTTTCGCCTGCATCTATTAATTAAGTGAAGAGAATTCATGTATGTGTGTGTATGCATATATGCACAAACAAAACTCTCTCTATGTGTGTGTAAGAAATCCACTACTGGGTTGATGTAGGTTTTTCAAGGTATATGGCCATGTTCGAGAAGCATTCTGTCCTGACGTTTCGCCTATTAATTGAGTGAAGAGAATTTATGTATGTGTATGCATATATGCACACAAAAAACTCTCTGTGTGTGTGTGTGTAAGAAATCCTCTACTCGGTTGTTGTAGGTTATGACCATGTTCGAGAAGCATTCTCTCCTGACGTTTCGCCTGCATCTATGCCAGGCATCAGACCTCACAACCTCTGAGGGTTCCCGCCATAGATGTAGGCGAAACGTCAGGAGAGAATGCTTCTGGAACATGGCCATACAGCCCGGAAAACTCACCACAAAGCAGAAAACATCTCAAGGTCTCCATGATGGAGAAAGAAAGGGAAGCTTTAAAACAGAATGCAAATTCTCCTTCCTCTCCTATAATGATGAAGAAAGAAAGGGAAGGTTTAAAAGAGGGGGGAAGAGAAGTGTGAACGTTTGGGAAAGTGGGGGTGATGGAGCTCTTTACATGGGAAATGATGATGATGATGGTGGTGATGATGCTGATGGGACTGTTGGTGATGAGGATGAAGCAGAAGACACGTGCTGGTCGCCCAAAACTAAAAGTAACTCCGGATTTCGAACCTGTTTCATTTCATTCCCCTCCCACACCCCTTCCTTGCACTTTTTGGAAATAATATTAGTATTCCTCAACGCTGACAATAATGAAAATAGATATATTTGTAAAGTCGGGTTTGACTCACCGCTGCTGCCAGGGGGGAATGGGCTCCTGTTTGTGGACGCTCTTCTCTCTTTCTTTCTCTCTCTTCTTTCTTTCTTTCTCTCCCTCCCTCCCTCTCTCTTCTCTCTTCCTTTCTCTCTCTCTCCCTCTCTCTTCTCTCTCGCTTTCTCTCTCTCTCTAGGGTTATAGCTGTAGTTCTCTCTGGATTGCTGTGAGTTTTCCGAGCTGTATAGCCGTGTCCCAGAAGCATTCTCTCCTGACGTTTCGCCCACATCTACAGCAGTCATCCTCAGCGGTTGAGATGTTTGTTTGTTTGTTTGTTGAGCGGAGGCGCCGAGACTTTGTGTCGCCACTTTGCCAAAGTGGAAGAAGGGAAGGAAAAAAAGAGGAGGGAGGGATTGGGGATCGTCCAAAAGACCCTCTAAAACAACCCCCTACCTTTCTAATTCTATATATCTAATAAATATATGTATTGCCCGCTTGGTCAAGCCCGAAAGCTTAGGTTGAAGTGGCACTCGGAGAGAATTAACCCGAATTAATTCCTATTTTAAACGACAGGAGGGGGAGATCTGTCTATCTATCTATCCTAACGCTCCCCCCTCAAATAAACCGCTATATATATATATATATATATATACACACACATATACATATAATATATACCTATGCCAACCCACGCCCTGCTTCGCCTCTGAGTGCCCTCCGGCTCCTTCCCCTTTAAGAGCAGCCTGGTCTTTTGAAAGTTAAGAATGGAGGTTCTTTTTTTTCCCTGCTCTTTTCCAATGTCTGGTCGAGACTGCCGCTAGGGGGCAGCCGCATACTGTCGATTTCTGTCTATCTCCAGCCTCTCTCTTTCATTCTCTCTCTCCCCCTTTTTCCCCCTGCAGTTTTATCCTCCAACAACACCCCCTCCTCCTCCTCCCTTCTTCTTCTCTCTCTCTCTCTCTCTCCCAGCATATGTTCTAATTTAGCCCTGTAAATTTTTCAGAGGGTCCCACTCTGACAGCCCCTGGTGATTCTCAAAGTACCACAAGCCAGTGGTTAAAAATTACATTGACTCCAAAGTTCAGAGTCGCACAAGGAGGGCGACTTTCTCCCTTTCAGGGCTGGGGGAGGAGGAGGAGGAGGAAGAGGAAGAAAGGGAGCGAGCAGGGAACTCACAACAAGAAGGCAGGGAGAATCCGCCGAGGCTTCCCTTTTGAACCCAATCGGTGGGTCTGAGCCCAGCCAAAGCCAAGAAGGATTCTGAGACTTGAAAGAGGGGTTGAAATATATGTGTGTGTGTTTCAACTTGAGATAGGTAGATAGATAGATAGATAGATAGATAGATAGATAGATAGATAGATAGATAGGATAAATAGACAGACAGACACATAGTTAGATAGATTAGATAGATAAACAGATAGGTAGATAGATAGATAGATAGATAGATAGATAGATAGATAGATAGATAGATAGATAGATAGATAGATAGACAGACAGACAGACAGATAGATAAGATAAGATAAATAGACAGACAGATAGCTAGATAGATAGATAGATAGATAGATAGATAGATATTTTAGATAGACAGACAGCTAGCCAGCTAGAGAGAGAGAGAGATAAAGAAAGAGAGAGGGAGAGAAGAGAGAGAAAGAGAGAGAGAAAGACAGAGAGAAGAGAGAGGGAGAGAGAAGAGAGAGATCTAGCTAGCTAGGCTAGCTAGCTAGCTAGATCTCTCTCTTCTCTCTCCCTCTCCCTCTCTCTTCTCTAGACAGACAGCTAGACAGACAGCTAGATAGATAGATAGATAGATAGATAGATAGATAGATAGATAGATAGATATTTTAGATAAATAGACAGACAGACAGCTAGAGACAGAGAGATAAAGAAAGAGAGAGGGAGAGAAGAGAGAGAAAGAGAGAGAGAAAGACAGAGAGAAAGACAGAGAGAAGAGAGAGGGAGAGAGAGAGAGAAAGAAAAGAGAGAGATCTAGCTAGATAGATAGACAGACAGACAGATAGATAGGTAGGTAGATAGATAGGGTAGATAGATATATTAGGTAGATAGATATATTAGATAGATCTATTAGGTAGGTAGGTAGGTAGGTAGGTAGATAGATAGATAGATAGATAGATAGATAGATAGATAGATAGATAGATAGATAGATAGAGATAGGATAAATAGACAGACAGATAGCTAGATAGCTAGCTAGATAGATAGACAGAAAGATAGATATATTAGATAAATAGACAAACAGGCAGATAACCAGACAGATAGATAGGATAGATAGATAGATAGATAGATAGATAGATAGATAGATAGATAGATAGATAGATAGATAGATAGATAGATAGATGATAGATAGAAAAATAGATGGATGGATGGATGCAATACTTTCTTAGCTTTGAGATATACTAGGTTGCTGTGAGTTTTCCGGGCTGTAATATACTGAAATATTCTGGATAATTAAATCTGGCTCCATTTTTTTTCAATTACCATTTCCCGCCCCTCCAGAGTTCTTTTCTACCTGCTTGGAAAATGGGAATATTCTCGAAGGAAAATGAGAATGGGGATATTCCTATTTTCCACCCAGAAGTTACAAACCGGAGCGAAGAAAGACAAGCCCATGTCTTTTTTATTATTATTTAAGCTAGTTGGATAAAAATCCGTCAGATAAATCCTTCCTCTCTCTCTCTTTTATCTCTTTCTCTATCTCTAACCTTTCTCTCTCTCCTCTCTTTCTTTCTCGCTCTCTTCTCTCTTTATCTTATATCTCTCTTCTCTCTCTCTTTCTCTATCTCTCTCTTCTTTCTTTCTCCCCCTCTATCTTCTCTCTTTCTTCTTTTATTCTCGCTCTCTTCTTTCTCTCTCTTCTCTCTTTCTCTCTCTTCTCTCTTTCTTTATCTCTCTCTCTCTCTCTCTCTCTCTCTCTCTCTATATATATATATATATATATATATTTGGGGTTATATCTGTAGGTCTCTCTGGATTGCTGTGAGTTTTCCCGAGCTGTATAGCCGTGTTCCAGAAGCATTCTCTCCTGACATTTCGCCTACATCTACAGCAGTCATCCTCAGAGCTTGAGATGCTTGCCATTGCTGTGGGCGAAACGTCAGCAGAGTATGCTTGTGAGTTTTCCGAACTGTATAGCCATGTTCCAGAAGCATTCTCTCCTGACGTTTCGCCCACATCAACAGCAGTCATCCTCAGAGGTTGAGATGTTTGCCATTGCTGTGGGCGAAACGTCAGCAGAGTATGCTTGTGAGTTTTCCGAGCTGTATAGCCATGTTCCAGAAGCATTCTCTCCTGACGTTTCGCCCACATCAACAGCAGTCATCCTCAGAGGTTGAGATGTTTGCAGTTGCTTCTGGAACATGGCTACACAGCCCGGAAAACTCACCGCAACCCAGCGATTCCGGCCACGAAAGCCTCCCACAACACATGGTCGGCCTCTCTCTGCTTGTTCCTAAATAGAGACACTCACTCCGGCCTCCAAAATAGCCCCCCACCCTGCCGTCGCTATCCAAGGTCGTCCACCTCCTCCGTATGATTAAATCACAATTTGCCCTGTTGTGAAAATAGACAAATAATATCCATTAGTGCCTAAACCTTTTGGCGTGTCTGGACGCTCTCCTTGAGGGACTGAGTTGTTGCTGTTATTTTTTATGACCGTTCAGGGGGGAAACAAACTCTTGATCGTTTTCTGCTTGAAGTATTTGTGGGTCATTTCTATTTAGTTGGAAAGAGAGAGAGAGAGAGAGAGAGAGAATTTCCAGATAGATAGATCAATAGATATCTGCAGGTTTCTGATTTCTCCTCTTTGGCGGGTTAGGAAAGAGGACGTCCTGCCCAAGTATTGGAATCTCAAAGGAAAATCCAAAGGGACGGCATGTGTTTCCGGTCATTTTTCTTTATTTCTCTCCAAATAAGGAGAATATTATCGGTTGGGGAAACTCAAAGGCCATTTCCCCTATCGCGGGGGTCTTGTTTCTTGGGCCGGATCAATACGACATTCCTCCAGTCGCTTCGAAACTGACCAGACGCGAGTGGACAATCACATAATGCAAAGGAGGTGTCTGTCTGGACAGGGAGAGCAGCTCAGGTGACATCCCCTCCTTTTTTTGCCTTGGGTCGCAGCCAGCCACCTGCCAGCTGAAAAACAGATCCTTTCTTTATACAAGAGAGAGAGAAAGAAAGAGAGAAGGAGGGAAAGAGAGAACTGGAGTGGAGATTCGGACGAATTCGGAGAAAATCCCTTTTTTCTTTACTCCTCCAAACTTCTCCTACACCCACATTCCCATCTCTATATCTCTTACCTAGTATACATTTCCATTTTTATGGGGTGGCCCCCTTTTTTAAGCTTTTACAAGCCTTTCCTCTTTTTTTTCGTATTCCGAATCTTCTTCCTACCAGGGTTTCGGCCCAGAAAGGAAAGGAAAAAGTGCAAAAGGGAAGTGGTCTTTGGAGTTTTTCTGCTTGGGAAGGGTTTATTGTCTTTTCTGGCATTCTCCCCCCCTTGTTTCACTGCTAAAATCTTGACAAGGAGGGAAAAGAACTCCACACACAGCAATCCTTTCCGAAATGCCTGATTCATTCCACCCCCTTTCTCCCTATATATGCATTTCTCTCCTCCTGCTATCATCGCCTTGCCCTCCAAGAAAGCATCTGGGTTCGATGTGTCCTTCTTTGAGATCAGAGGCAACAGAAAGGAGGGAGGGAGGCTGGGTTGGCTCTGTCTTGCCCCATTTCGACTGGGAACCTAGGGAGCCAAAGGGAAGGATGTCAGGCTCCGGCCAACAATGAAGCCTATGCTTGACTCTCCCGGGGTCAGAGCCTCTCGCCTCTCTAATGTGTGTCCCTCCTGCTCAACACTGAGAGTTGTCTGTCTGTCTATCTATCTAACACATCAGCCGAGCAGCTTCCAATCAAAGGGATGACCCACAATCTACAGGATGGGAAAAGAAAGGACTGGTTTGCAAGCTGAGGAGGAACACAAGCTTAGAGAAATATAGATCCCCATGCCTTTGGACCCACAGCCAAAGCAGATCACAGAGTAATGAGTTTGTTATTGAAGATAGATTGGGTTTTAACAATAATAATAATAATAATAATAATAATAATAATAATAATAATAATAATAATAAATGAAATATTATTAATATCCTCTGAGGATGCTTGCCATAGATGCAGGCGAAACGTCAGGAGAAATGCCTCTAGAACATGGCCCTATAGCCCGAAAAAACCTACAAGAACCTATATTATTAATATAATAATATAATAATAATATTAATATAATAATATAATAATAATATTAATATAATTATATTATATTATATATAATAATTATATTATATATAATAATTATATATATATATAATTATATTATATAATATATATATAATTATATAATATGTATATATATTATATAATAATTATATTAATATATAATAATATATTATTAATAGATTATTATATCATTATATAATTATTAATATATTATTATATAGTATATTATAATAGTAAAATAATATTATTAATAATAAAATAATAAAATAAAAATAACTATTATTATTAGTATTAGTATTATTATTAAGTGTCCATAGTGAGTCCACTTCTCTGAAGGTCTATGTGTCTCCTTGTATAGAGGCAGCATCAGAAACTGAGCGTGGTCCCCAAAGGCCAGGGAGTGACAGCTCTGCTCTGATGAAAAGACCCTTCTCTCATCCCCTTTCCCTTCAAATGTCCATCCATCTCTCTCTCAAGAGGCCAAGGAGTCCCTTCTCTCACATAGAGACCCCTTAGTATCATTTCAAAGAGAGATTTTGGAGAGGTCTTCCCAACCCATCCTTATGCCTCAAACACCAAATGCAAACCTAAGGCTGGGTTCAAATGACTGTAAGGGAGTGGTGAAAGAGTTCAGATTTTGGAGAGGTCTTCCAAACCCATCCTTGTGCCTCAAACACCAAGTTCTGGGTTTAAATGACTGTAAGGGAGTGGGGGAAAAATTCAGATTTTGGAGAGGTCTTCCAAACCCATCCTTGTGCCTCAAACACCAAGCTCTGGGTTTAAATGACTGTAAGGGAGTGGGGAAAGAATTCAGATTTTGGCGAGGTCTTCCAAACTCCATTCTTATGCCTCAAACACCAAATACAAACCTAAGGCTGCGTTCAAATGACTGTAAGGGAATGGGGAAAGAGTCAATTGAAAGTAAGGTAAAAGAAGAGCTCTCAATTTGAAGGAAAGCAGGGGAGAAGAGCCATCGGTAACAAATTGAGCCTCGGTTAATAACATATACATAGACAATACCCCCTCCCTTCTTACTTTGGCTGCTTAAATCAGGGTGAAAGAAGCAGAGGAGAAGGGGGAAAGAAAGAGGAAGGGAAAGGAGGAATGAATGGAAATGAAAAACGAGGGGAAAGACCCGGTTTCTCATCTTACTTTTGTTGCTTCTGAGTTTCGAAGCTGGGTTGAAGAAGCAGGAAAGAAAGGAAGAAGAGAGGAAAGGAGGAATGGAAGGGAAAGAGGAGAAGTAGGGGAGGAAATGAAGGAAGGAAGGCAGGAAGAAAAGACTTTTTTGCTCAGAGAAACGGGGAAGGGAAGGGAAGAAGGGGGGAAAGGAGGAATGGAAGAGAAAGAGGAGTTAGTGGGGGCGAAAGGAAGGAAAGAAAGAAGGGGAAAAGGCAATGCCCCTTTTACTTGTCTTGCTGAGAGAAAGAGGAGGAAAAGGAAGAAGAGAAGGGAAAGCTCAGAAGAGAGAGAAGGGGGCAGAAGGAAAGGAAGTCAAGAGGGAAAGGAAGGAAGGAAAGGAGCAAAGGCAATGCCCCTTTTCTTACTTTTCTTGCTCAGAGAACGGGGAAAAGAAGAAGGAAAGGGAAGAAGGGGGAAAGGGGGGAATGGAAGAGCAAGAGAAGATAGTGGGGAAAGAAAGGATGGAAAGAAGGGAGAAAGACAATGCCTTTTTTCTTACTTTCCTTGCTCAAAGAAAGAGGGGGGAGAGAAGGAAAGGGAAGAAGGGAGGAAAGGAGGAATTAAGAGAAAGAGGAATTAGTGGGGGAAGAAAGGAAGGAAAGAATGGAGGAAGGGGGAAAGGCAATGCCCTTTTTCTTACTTTCATTGCTCAGAGAAAGGGGGGACGAAGAAGAAAAGGGAAGAAGGGGGAATGGAAGAGAAAGAGAAGATCGTGGGGAAAGAAAGGAAGGAAAGAAGGGTGGAAAGGGGAAACACAATGCCCTTTTTCTTACTTTCCTTGCAGAGAAAAGGGGGAAAAGAAGCAGGAAAGAGAAGATAGTGGGAAAAAGGAAGGAAGACAAGAAGGGAGGAGAGGGAAAAGACGATGCCCTTTTTTCTGACTTTCCTTGCTCAGAGAAAAGGGGGGAAAGAAGAAGGAAAGGGAGGAAGGGGGGAAAGGAGGAATTGAAGAGAAAGAGGAGCTATTGGGGGGAAGAAAGGAAGGAAAGGAGGGAAGAAGGAGGAAAGATAATGCCCCTTTTTCTTACTTTCCTTGCTCAGAGAAAAGTGGGGAAAGAAGAAGGAAAGGGAGGAAGGGGGAAAAGGAGGAATAGAAGAGAAAGAGGAGTTAGTGGGGGAAGAAAGGAAGGAAAGAAGGGAAGAAGGGGGAAAGACAATGCCTTTTTCTTACTTTCCTTGCTCAGAGAAAAGGGGAAAGGGAGAAAGGGAGGAAAGGAGGAATAGAAGAGAAAGAGGAGTTAGTGGGGGGGGGGGAGAAAGGACGGAGAGAAGGGAGGAAGGAGGAAAGACGATGCCCTTTTTTCTTACTTTCCTTGCCTAGAGAAAAGGGGGAAAAGAAGAAGGAAAGAGAAGATAGTGGAGGAAAGAAGGAAGACAAGAAGGGAGGAAGGGGGAAAGACAATGCCCTTTTTTCTTACTTTCCTGACTCGGAGAAAAGGGGGGAAAGAAGAAGAGAAGATAGTGGGGAAAGGAAGGAAGAAAAGAAGGGAGGAAGGGGGAAAGACAATGCCCTTTTTTCTTACTTTCCTTGCTCAGAAAAAAGGGGAAAGGGAGAAAGGGAGGAAAGGAGGAATAGAAGAGAAAGAGGAGTTAGTGGGGGAGAGAAAGGAAGGAAAGAAGGGAAGGAAAGAAGGAGGAAAGACAATGCCCTTTTTTCTTACTTTCCTTGCCCGGAGAAAAGGGGGGAAAGAAGAAGGAAAGGGAAGAAGGTGGAAAAGGAGGAATTGAAGAGAAAGAGGAGTTAGTGGGGGAAGAAGGGAAGGGAAGAAGAGAGGAAGGGAGAAAGACAATGCCCTTTTTTCTTACTTTCCTCGCTCAGAGAAAGGGGAAAGAAGGAAGAAGAGAAAGAGAGAAGAGTGGGGGGGGGGGGGGGACGACGACACACAGAAGGAAAGGAAGCCAGGAGGGAACCGAGGCGGCGCTAGGACCGGCGCGGGCTGTCCTCCCCAGCCTGTCCCCCGTCCCCGCGCTGCCCAATGAGTGCCGAGGGGCGGTCCGGGCGCTTTGGACCACTCAAAGGCAGCCTCTTGCCTTATAAGGCGAGCGGTCGCCATGGCAACGTGTGCTAAGTTGCAGCCGTCGTGTCAAAGTTCACTATATAGAGAGCGCGGGGCGAGCAGGAGCGCGGAGAAAAGCAGCGCCGTCCGCCTTCTTCTTCTTCTTCCTCCTCGCCTCCTCCTCCTCCTCCTCTTCCTCCGGCTGCACGGCTGGGCTCCCCTCCTCCTCCCCCTCCCTCCTTCCTCCTTTGCATATTTGATCACTGGGATCCTCTCTCTCTCTCGCCCCCCCCCCCCTTTCCTTCCTTCCTTTCTTCTTTCCCTCCCTATTTCCCCCCTTTTGCCCATTCCAAGCTCTTTTAAGTATTGGAATCGCCGCAGCCAAAGCAAGGAAAGCAAGAGGGGAGTGCACTCTTCCTTATTGATTTTGGGGTGTGAGAATGCACTCTTTCCTATCGATTTGGGGTGTGAGGGAGACTTAATTCCTCCATTGAAAGCCTTCCTCCTTTTCTAAGTATTGGAATCGCAGTAGAGGGGGGGGGGGGAAGGGGGAATGCACAGTTTCTTGTTGATTTGGGGTGTAAGGGGGAGTTAATTCCTCCATTGCAAGCCTTCCTCCTCTTCTTCCTCCCCCTTTCCCTCCTCCCTTTCTTCTGGGGAAGAGTTCAGCCGGGTCTCCTCTCCTCCCCTCCCTCCTTCCCCGCTCTCTCTCTCTCTTTCCTCTCTCTCTCTCTTCTCCTCCCCTTCGCGCCCCATGCGTTGTTGGGCGAGGAAGCAGCCGCCGCTGGGCTAAAAAGAGGAGGAGAAGGAGCCACTGGGAGAAAAAGCAGCCCGAGCGGCAGGAGGAGGAAGAAGAAGAAAGAAGAGGAGGAGGAAAGAGAGACGAAAGAAGAAGAAGGACAAGCAGGAGGAGGAGGAGAATAAGAACAGAGGGAGGAGGAGACCAAGAGGAGGGGGAGGACAAGACACAGAAAGAGAAAGAGAGACGGAGGAGGACAACAACAACAAAAAAAGGAGGAGAGGAAGAAGAGAGAAGGGGAAGGCAGCGCGTGGGGGAGTCCGTGCGTGGACTGGACACACTCCCTTCCTTTGCCTTTCCTTTCATCCCCTTTCTTTGCCTCCTTCCTTCTCCCCTCTTTCTTTCTTCTCCTCTTTCTTTTTTCTTTCTTTCTTTCCCTCTCTCCCTTCTCTCGCTCCTTCCGGTGGATGTTTCTCCAGCTTCGCCCAACTCCGAGCTCCGATCGAAACGAGCCGAAGCCGTGGCCTCTCGCTGCTTTCGCGTCTCCTCCTTCGCCTCCTTCTCTTTCTCCGGAGGGCTCCTCGGCTTCCTCTCTCCGCCCTCCTTCCTCCTTCTCTTTCTCCTTCTTCCCCTTTTTTTCCCATGGCTTTCCTGAATGGCTGACGATTGCAGGCGGCCCTGGATTTGTCCCCCGGACCTCCTCCTCCTCCTCCGGCTGCAAAAAAGAAGAGAGGGAGGGGGAAAGCCTTGAAGAAGGAGGAGAAGAAGAAGCGGCGGCAGCAGGAGGAGGAGACGAGAGAGGGAAACAACCCCAGCCTCTCTCTCTGTGTCTGTCCTTTCCCTTCGCTTCAACTTTCCTTTCTTTCCGGCTGCTAGACAATCTCCTCGGCGCTGCCTTCTGCTTCCTTCCCTTCCTTCCCTTCTTCTCCCGTTCCCTTCTTTCTCTTTCCGGCTCCACGCGCCTCCCCTCCCCCTCCTCTTCTCTTTCTCCCCCCTCCTTCTCTTAAGAGGAAGGAAGAACACCCCCGACACACACACACACACACACCTCCCGAAACTTAAGGACATTCATTCATTTCTCCCGAAGAAGAAGGAGGAGAAGAAAGGGGGAGGAAGGCATCGGCTCCTTTTCGACTCCCTTCACTCGAGAGGACATTTTCGCCACAAAATAAACAAATCCGGAGAGACTCGAGAACAAGAAAGAAGAGAGTGAGAGAGAGAGACAACAAAAGAGAGAGAAAGAGAAACAAAACTATCCCGAGAACTCTTAACTTCAGGACGTTCCAAGCGCCGAGGAGGGGAATGCCTGCCTTGAGGACTTTTTGAGAGGAGAGGAGGAGAAGGAATCGCGGGAGAACTTTCCACGAAGGGAGAGTCAAGAGAAGGAGAAGGAGAAGGAGGCGAGCGCTGGGGGCAGAGGAGGAGGAAGAGGAGGAAGAAGAGAGCGGCGTTGGCGTTGGTCCGGCCTCGGCGTGGACGCTCTCCTATGCCTGCCGCGGCGCGTGGGTAGCGTGGGTAGCGTGGGCGGGGCCGGAGCCAAGCTGCAAGCGCCGCCGTGCTCGGACTCTTCCTCGGGCGGCGGAGGCGGGCTCCCTTCTTGGGGGGGAGCCACCACGACGACGGGGGGCCGGCCGCTTTGGCCCCGGGGTCCCTTAGAGATGGCCATGGTGGTGGGCGCCTGGCGAGACCCCGCCGACGACGTGCCCGCCGGGCCCCCGCCCCCGCCGCCCGCCTCCTCGCAGGGACCCCCCGGGGGCGCGGGGCCACCCTCGGGCGCAGGGCCGCACACCCCGCAAGCCCCCGGACAGGCCGGGCCCCCCGCCCAGACCCCCAGCCAGGGCAACCCCAGCGGAGGAGGAGGAGGAGGGGGTGGCGGCGGCGGCAACGGGGGCCAAGGCGGCGACAAGGCGTCGCAGCAGCAGCAGCAGCACATCGAGTGCGTGGTCTGCGGGGACAAGTCCAGCGGGAAGCACTACGGGCAGTTCACCTGCGAGGGCTGCAAGAGCTTCTTCAAGCGCTCCGTCCGGAGGAACCTCAGCTACACGTGCCGCGCCAACCGGAACTGCCCCATCGACCAGCACCACCGCAACCAGTGCCAATACTGCCGCCTCAAGAAATGCCTCAAGGTTGGCATGAGGCGGGAAGGTATTGGGATTTCATTTGTTTTGCCACTGCTTCTTGGCCCACGGAGAAAGAGCTTAGCTTAGGGAGGGGAAGGGGAAGGAGTAGAAAGAGAAACAGAAGAAGGAGAAAAGGGGGAAGGAGAAAGAGGAGAAGGAGAAAAGGGGGTAGGAGAAAGAGGAAGAAGGAGAAAGAGAAGGAGAAAGGGGGGAAGGAGAAAGAGAAGGGGAAGGGGATGGGGAAGGAAGGGAATGCAGCCTGGCAGCATCCTCCTCCTCTCGCTCCAGGAGAAGGAGAAAAGGGGGAAGGAGAAAGAGGAGAAGGAGAAAAGGGAGAAGGAGAAGGGGATGGGGAAGGAAGGGAATGCAGCCTGGCATCCTCCTCCTCCTCTCGCTCCAGGCTCAGAGCTTCTGCCGGTCCCATTTGTCCAAAGGGAAAAGGGTCTTTCCACCCACAAGCTCCACTCTGCCTTCCCAAGGCAAAGCCCAAGCTCAGGGGGGGATTGTCAAGGTCTTCTTCACAGCCAGGGTCTTTTGAAAAGTGGGGGACTCTTCACCCACAAGCTCCAAAGCACCTTCCCAGTGTAAATCCAAGCGTCAGGGTTTAAGGGGATTTTTTAGTGTATTTTTAAAGTGAGGGTCTTTTGACCCACAACCTCCAAAGCACCTTCCCAGTGCAAACCTAAGGGTCAGACACCTAGGGTTTTTTTAATGTACTCTGAAAAGTGAGGGTCTTTTTAATGTCTTCTGAAAAGTGAGGATCTTTTGACCCACAAGCTCCAAAGCACCTCCCCATTGCAAATCCAAGGCTCAGGCTGGTAGGAGATTTTAAATGTATTTTTTAAAGTGAGGGTCTTTTTAATGTCTTCTGGAAAGTGAGGGTTTTGGACCCACAAGCTCCAAAGCACTTTCCCATTGCAAATCCAAGGCTCAGGCTGGTAGGAAATTTTAAATGTATTTTTTAAAAGTGAGGGTCTTTTTAATGTCTTCTGAAAAGTGAGGGTCTTTTGCCCCACTAGCTCCAAAGCACCTTCCCAGTGTAAATCCAAGCGTCAGGGTTTGAGAGGATTTTTAATGTATTTTTAAAGTGAGGATCTTTTGATCCACAAGCTCCAAAGCACCTTCCCAGTGCAAATGCAAGGCTCAGGGTTTCAGGGAATTTTAAATGTATTTTTAAAGCGAGGGTCTTTTCAATGTATTTCTTAAAGTGAGGGTCTTTTGCCCCACTAGCTCCAAAGCACCTTCCCAGTGTAAATCCAAGGGTCGGGGGGGTTTTAGGGGATTTTTAGAGTATTTTTTAAACTTAGGATCTTTTGATGCACAAGCTCCAAAGCACCTTCCCAGTGCAAATGCAAGGATCAGGGTTTGAGGGGATTTTTTGAGTATTTTTAAAGTGAGGATCCTTTGATACACAAGCTCCAAAGTACCTTCCCAGTGCAAATGCAAGGCTCAGGATTTCAGGGAATTTTTAGTGTATTTTTTAAAGTGACGGTCTTTTGATGCACAAGCTCCAAAGCACCTTCCCATTGCAAATGCTAGGCTCAGGGTTTTAGGGGATTTTTTGAGTATTTTTTAAAGTGAGGGTCTTTTGACCCACAAGCCTCAAAGCATCTTCCCAGTGCAAATGCAAGGCTCAGGATTTCAGGGAATTTTTAGTGTATTTTTAAAAGTGAGGGTCTTTTTACTGTTGTTTGTAAAGTGAGGGTCTCTTCGCCCACAAGCTCCAAAGCACTTTCCCCTTGCAGACCCAAGCATTAGGGTTTAAAGGAATTTTAAATGTATTTTGAAAAGTGACGGTCTTTATATTATATTTTGAAAAGTGGGGCTGTCTTTTTAATGCAGTTTTAAAAGCGAGGTTCTTTTGGCTGTAGTTTTTAAAGTGAGGGTCTTTTCACCCACAAACTCCAAAGCACCTTCTCAGTGTAAATCCAAGGATCAGGGTTTTGGAGGATTTTTTGTGTATTTTTTAAAGTGAGAGTCTTTTGACCCGCAAGCTCCAAAGCACCTTTCCCATTGCAAACCCAAGCATCAGGGTTTTGGAGGATTTAAAATGTATTTTTAAAGTGGGGGTCTTTTAAATGTCCTTTGAAAAGTAAAGGTCTTTTCAATGTGTCTCTTAAAGTGGGGGTCTTTTCACCCACAAGCTCCAAAGCACCCTTCCCAGTGTAAATCCAAAGATCAGGGTTTGAGGGGATTTTTAGTGTATTTTTTAAAGTGAGGGTCTTTTCGCCCACAAGCTCCAAAGCAGCTTCCCAGTGAAAACCCAAGCGTCAGGGTTTTGAGAGATTTTTAATGTATTTTTTAAATTGGGAGAGTTTTTTGACCAACAAGCTCCAAAGCACCTTCCCATTGCAAATCCAAGGCTCAGGCTGGTAGGAGATTTTAAATGTATTTTTAAAGTGAGGGTCTTTTCAATGTATTTCTTAAAGTGGGGGTCTTTTCACCCACAAGCTCCAAAGCGCCTTCCCATTGCAAACCCAAGGCATCAGGGCTTTAGGGGATTTGTAATGTATTTTTAAAATTGGGAGTCTTTTCACCCACAAGCTCCAAAGCGCCTTACCAAAGGACTGGGACCTTATATTGTATTATATTATGTTATATTTCCTGGGTGCAAAGCCTGAGGGTAGGGTTTTAGGGGAATTTTAATGTATTTTTTCAAAGTGAGGGTCTCCAAAACGCCTTCCCTTTGCAAACTTGAGGGTCAGGCTCTTTCAGGAATTTTAATGTATTTTTCAAAGTGCGTGGAGCATGATTCCCTTTTGCTGGCTTCTCGGCTTCTTAGCCAGCCAACTCCAAAGCCCCTTCCCAGTGCAAACTTGAGAGCTAGGACCTTCTATCATTTTGCATTCATTTCCCTAGATACAATCTTGAGTATTAGAAGTTTTGTGTCATTTCTAATTCACTTCTCTAAGTACAAACTTAGAGGTGCATCATATACATCTTTGGGGGCCACTGCTTGTGTGTCTCTATGTGTTTAGAATATGTTGGCTTGGGCTTGTTGACCAACAAGCTCCAAGGCATCCTCCAGATGCAAACGTGAAGACTAGGACCTTCTGTAAATTTTTAGTTTTGCATTAAAGTAGGCCTCGGGGACAGATTTTGGAGTCATGTCTTCCCTTCTTAGATGTAACAGCTAAACTCTTGGTATATGTGTCTGTTTGTGTGTGGAAAACGCCAAACATTTGCTGGCTTTGCCTTGTTGACCAGAGCTCCGAGGCATTCTCCTTATGTTTTATTTTATTTTATGGGTGCAAACTTGAGCACTGGGACCTTATATTGTATTATATTATGTTATATTTCCTGGGTGCAAACTTGAGCATTGGGATATTATATTAATTATATTATATTATATTATATTATATTATATTATATTATATTATATTATATTATATTATACTATACTATACTATACTATACTATACTATACTATACTATACTATACTATATTATATTATATTATATTATATTATATTATATTATATTATATTATATTATATTATATTTTCTAGGTGCAAACTTGAGCACTTGGACCTTGTATTGTATTTCCTGGGTGCAAACTTGAGCATTGGGATATTATATTCCATTATTATTATTATTATTATTATTATTATTATTATATTTTCTAGGTGCAAACTTGAACACTGGGACCTTATATTGTATTATATTATGTTATATTTCCTGGGTGCAAACTTGAGCCCTGGGACCTTATATTATACATTAATTATTATTATATATTGTTATATTATATTATTTTCTGGGTGCAAACTTGAGCGCTAGGACCTTATATTTTGTTCTGTTTCCTGGATGCAAACTTGGCCACTGGGACCTTTTATTATATTATATTTTCTGGGTGCAAACTTGAGCGCTAGAACCTATTATTATTATTATTATTATTATTATTATTATTATTATTATTTCCTGAGTGCCTCCTTGAGCATAATCTTATATTATGATTATTTTATATTTTATTTTCTGGGTGCAAACTTGAGCATTAGGACATTGTAATAGTATTAATTTATTATTATTTCCTGTGTGCAAAGCTGAGCATTGGGACATGATATTCCTTCTATATTATTTTCTGGCATTCAGCTTCAGCACGAGAACCTTGTGTTCCTTTTTTTATGTCTTTAAAAATACAAAGAGAGGCGAAGATCTGAAGGTATTTTGTGGCCGCTGGCTGTAAGAAGCCCGGCCATTTCTCTGGCTTAGGTGGGAGGGGAGAAAAGAGCAGGAAAAACTCTGCTTCGGGAGTGTTTGTATGGAAAAGGATCCATTTTGAGGCCAGGGCCGGTCATTTGTCCTTAAGCAGGACAAAAGGGAGGAAAGAGGCAACCCAAACCCTTCCTTCGAGTGCGCGTGTTTTGCTTGTGCGTGTTGGGATATGCCTCACATTTCTTGGCTGGAGCTGGTTGACCGATCAAAGCCCCGTTCATCTAGGGTAAGCCTTGAAGCTTGAATAAATTCTGATTTATTTCACTTTATTTGGAGACCGCTGCCTTGTAAACAGAGGGATTTCTCCATTTCTCTGGCTCAGATGGGAAGCAGAGGGCAGCAAGAACAGAATAATATTTTATTTCATTATTATTATTATTATTATTATTATTATTATTATTATTATTATTATTAAATACCTTCTGTTCGCCTCTCTTCAGCTCAGAAATACACAAACATGTATATTTCCAAAGAGGAGGCGAGAAAAAAGGGCTGCCTTTCTTTCTTTCCCCTTTTCCTCCTTGATTTATCATATATTATCTATCTATATTATCAATATATGTATCGATCCGTCACCCCAGGCCTTCCCTTCTTTCCTTTCCCCCAAAACCGGCTTCTTTTTTCTCTCTCTCAACCTCACTATCCTTCTTTCCTTTCTTGCATTTGGGAAGAAGGGAAAGAGTGTCCAAAAGAGGCCAAAACCAGGCATTGTTTACATTCCCAGCAATAATATCACACAATATTTCCTAGTAGGAGGCAAAGAGAAAGAGGATAGGAAAGAATGCCTTTGTAAAATGTAAATAGATAGATGGATAGATAGATAGATAGATATTAGAGCTGCAAATCGGCAGAGAGAGGTGGGTTTGTTTGGGTGGGAAGAGGCGAAAGGGGAGCTGGATTCCCAAGATGGAGCTTGGCTTGGCAGGGAAGAGGCCGAGCCAAACAGCCTGCCTGGCGCTGGGCTTTCTCCTTAGGCCGCTTCTCGGCTCTTCTCCTCTTCCTTCCCCTCTTTCCTTCCTTCCTTTCTTCTCTTTCCCTCTGTCCGTTTACGAACCGGAGGGGAAAAAAGGACCCACGAAAACAAAACAAGCCAGGCAGAGAAGGAAGGAAGGGAGGAAGGAAGGGGGAGAGATGGCCCAGCGTTTCCCCCGCACTGACCTAGAAAATCCAGGCAGGCAACACAGGGAAAATATATTCTGTGTGTCTGTGGAATCTATCTCTATATTCCTTGGGCCATTTCGAGCGGGGAAAGGTATTCTCCGGCTGTTTGTCTGTGTTGAATGGGAAGTGGGGTTTTTGCCTTTGCCGTAGTGATCTTGAAAGCAAAACCCTACCTCTTGGTTTTGTTTCAATGGGGGAAAGGGGTTGAAAGGAAGGAAGGGAAGGGGCGTTGGGAAGCCTGCCTTGGCCTCTCCTTGCCCTTTTGACTTAGGCTTAAAGCAGTAAGGATGAGGAGGGAAAAGGGGATTCGGTAGAGAGAAAGGGAAGAAGAAACGGCTCCTGTTTATGCTTTGTTTTCCCCTCCAAAAATATAATAATAATGCTTTTCTGCTCCTTACTTTGGCCAAAGGGGAGGGCTGCTCTATTTCTCTGCTTCTGACCACCAAAGCTTCCCCAAAATCCTATGTTTCATATAGTTTGGGAATAGAGTAAGAGACTCCTTCCTTGCTCCTGCAATTTGGAAAGCTCTTTGCTCTGTCTCGGCTCTTCCATCCCCTTCCTTGCTTCCTTTCCCCCAAAAAATGCAATGAAAGGTCTAGGATCGGTCATAGGAAGGAGATAATATCCTTTAGGATCTCGATATGGTCAGGTCTAGCATTTAGACAAGACAAGAAAAGGTCTAGGGTCTGGACATGGCCATGGGAAGTCTGGGGTTTAGACAGGGCAATGAAGGGTTTTAGGATCTGGACATGGTCAGAAGATACCTAGGATTTGGATCTAGGCAGGAGGATCTAAAATATGGACATAGCCAAGGGAGGTCTAGGGTTTAGACAGGGCAATGGAGCATTTAGGATCTGGACATGGTCAGGAGATATCTAGGAGCTGGATCTAGGGTTTAGACAAGATAAGGAAGGGTCTAAGGTCTGGACATGACCATGGGAAGTCTAGGGTTTAGACAGGGCAATGAAAGGTTTTAGGATCTAGACATGGTCAGGAGATATCTAGGATTTGGATCTAGGCAGGAGGATCTAAGATCTGGACATAGCCAAGGGAGGTCTAGGGTTTAGACAGGGCAATGAAGGGTTTTAGGATCTGGACATGGTCAGGAGATATCTAGGATTTGGATCTAGGCAGGAGGATCTAAGATCTGGACATGGCCAAGGAAGGTCTAGGGTTTAGACAGGGCAATGGAGCATTTAGGATCTGTACATGGTCAGGAGAGATCTAGGAGCTGGATCTAGGGTTTAGACAGGACAAGGAAGGGTCTAGGGTCTAGACACGGCCAAGGAAAGTCTAGGGTTTAGACTGGGGAATGAAGGATTTTAGAATCTGGACATGGTCAGGAGATATCTAGGAGCTGGATCTAGGCAGGATGGTCATGGTCAGGAGAGACCCAGCGCCATCCAAAAGAGCCAGAAGGAACATCAGCAGGGAGTTCTATTTTAATGTTAGTGTATTTGTAGATCTTACATTGAATTGAAATGCTGCTTTGGGTCTCCTTTTTGGAGAGAGAAAAACAGGGCAATAATACTAATAATAACAACAATAACAATATAGGAGAGATCTAGGGTTTAGAAAAAATATAATATAATAAGAGAAACCTAGGGTTTAGAAGAAGGGACCAAGATATTACCAGGAAACATATAGGGTTTAGGCAAGGCACTGGAGGGTCTAGGATCCGGGCATGGTCAGGAGATATCTCGGATCTGGACATGGTCGGGAATCAGGTCTAGCATTAAGAGAATGTGGAGAAGGATCTTAAGATCTGGACGAATCAGGGAAAGGGAATGCTAAGGCGAGGAGATCTCTTCTGAGACAGGGAAGGTCAACCCAACCTAGAAGGACACCCATTCCCTACTTTGTCAGGATTTTGCCCCTCTGTTTTATTTTTATGGTGGGTATGTGGGTGGGTAATAAGCAGGCGGTCGATTTTACCCCTTGTTTGTGTCCCTTTCCTTGGGAGTAAATATCGGTTTCTCGCATGTCAAGGGAAGAGAAGGGGGAAAGTTTCCAAAGTTTGAATAAGAAATGGAGACTATTCTGTCAATGGAGGGGGGGGGGGAGTTCCCCAAGTTCCCTCTCAATTAGAAATGTAGACGCCTGGGCTGTGTAGGCAATCTGAGCAGAGTAAATCTGCCTTAGAAAAAACTCCTTATAGACTCCACATGGGCTCATTATTATTAATAATAATATTGAATTATTGTAGGTTTTTTCGGGCTATACGGCCCTGTTCTAGAGGCATTCTCTCCTGACGTTTCGCCTGCATCTATGGCAAGCATCCTCAGAGGTAGTGAGTCCTAATATTGTTATTAATATTATTAGAATGGGCTCATTATTATTAATAATAATATTAATAACATTATTAATAATATTAATAATAATATAATTATTAATATTATTAATGTTGTTGTTGTTTAGCAAACTAAGGAGCACGAATCTGACCCCATGTGGAGTCTTTTCTAAGGCAGGGATCTTCCAAGACGCTTCCATTCCTTATCTTGTCAGGATTTTGCCTCTCTGTTTTGTTTTTATTGTATGTGTGGGTAATAAACAGGTAGTTGATTCTAACTTCCTGTTTGTGTCCCTTTCCTCGGGAATAAATAAATATCTCTTTCTTGTATTGCCGAAGGCTTTCATGGTCGGGATCACTGGGTTGTTGTAGGTTTTTCCGGGCTATATGGCCACGTTCTGGAGGCATTTTTTCTCCTGACGTTTCGCCTGCATCTATGGCAAGCATCCTCAGAGGTCGTGAGGTCTCTATCTCTTTCTTGTTTGTCAATGGAAGAGAAGGGGAAAAGTTTCCCAAGTTTGGATAAAAAATGGAGACTAGTCTGCCTAGGCGAGGCATGGGCCAACTTGGGCCCACCCTCCGGGTGTTTTGGACTCCAACTCCCACAATTCCTAACAGCCTACCGGCTGGAGGGGCCAATTTGGCCCATGCCTCGCCTAGGCAGTCTGAGCAGGGTAATATATATTCCATTATTATTATTATTATTATTATTATTATTATTATTATTATTATTATTATTCAGCCAGTAGAGTGTCTGCTGTGGACTCATCTTGTTGTGTTTCCAATAAATAATAATAATAATAATAATAATAATATGATTGCAGTGTTGTTTCTTGTTTGTCAATGGAAGAGAAGGGGAAAAGTTTCCCAAGTTTGGATAAAAAATGGAGACTAGTCTGCCTAGGCGAGGCATGGGCCAACTTGGGCTGTTAGGAATTGTGGGAGTTGGAGTCCAAAACACCCGGAGGGAGGGCCTAAGTTGGCCCATGCCTCGCCTAGGCAGTCTGAGCAGGGTAATATATATTCCATAATAATAATAATAATAATAATAATAATAATAATAATAATAATAATAATAATAATAATTTTTATTATTATTGTACAGCTAGTAGAGTGTCTGCTGTGGACTCATCTTGTTGTGTTTCTAATTATTATTATTATTATTATTATTATTATTATTATTATTATTATTATGCCAGTAGAGTGTCTGCTGTGGACTCATCTTGTTGTGTTTCTAATAATAATAATAATAATAATAATAATAATAATAATAATAATAATAATAATAATAATATGAAGGGTCCTTCTTGGTCCTCAAGAAGGCTTCCCATGAGTAGGAAGAGCCCCAGACTGGGTGGTTGTTGTGGCCCTTTGGTGCCCCCTTTGTTGACCCCCCAGGAGCGCCCAAAGGCAGCCCCGGAGGAGGCCTCGTCAATGGCGGTATTAATGGCTGCAGTCTCTTCCTTCTTTACTGCAGCCGTGCAGCGGGGCAGGATGCCGCCCACTCAGCCGACCCACGGGCAGTTCGCCTTGACCAACGGGGACCCGCTGAACTGCCACTCGTACCTCTCGGGATATATCTCGCTGCTCCTGCGGGCCGAGCCCTACCCGACCTCCCGCTTCGGCAGCCAGTGCATGCAGCCCAACAACATCATGGGCATCGAGAACATTTGCGAGCTGGCCGCCCGCATGCTCTTCAGCGCCGTGGAGTGGGCCCGGAATATCCCCTTCTTCCCCGACCTGCAGATCACCGACCAGGTGGCCCTCCTGCGGCTCACCTGGAGCGAGCTCTTCGTCCTCAACGCCGCCCAGTGCTCCATGCCCCTCCACGTCGCCCCGCTCCTGGCCGCCGCCGGCCTCCACGCCTCGCCCATGTCCGCCGACCGGGTGGTGGCCTTCATGGACCACATACGCATCTTCCAGGAGCAAGTGGAGAAGCTCAAGGCCTTACACGTGGACTCCGCAGAATACAGCTGCTTGAAGGCCATCGTCCTCTTCACCTCAGGTCAGTCCGCCCGCCCGCGGGTGGTCCAGTCTAGGGTCTGGAGGGAAGGGGAAGGGTCTAGGGTCTGGACATGGCGGGCCAAGGGAAAGCGAGGATCTGAATCTAGCCTTTAGACAGAGCGAGGAAGAGTCAAGGACCTGGATATGGTCGGGAGATGTTTAGGATCTGAATCTAGGATGAAGAAAAGTCTGGACATGGTCAGGAGAGGTCTTGGGTTTAGACAGGAAGGACGTAGGATTTGGATATGGTCAGGAAATATTTAGAAGCTGGATCTAGGATTTAGACAGGGTTAGGAGGGGTCTAGGGCCTGGATATCGTCAGGAGATATTTAGGATCTGAATCTAGCCTTTAGACAGAGGGAGGAAGAGTCTAGGACCTAGATATGGTCGGGAGATATTGAGGATCTGAATCTAAGATTTAGACAGGACGAGGAAGGATCTGGACATGGTCAGGAGTGGTCTTGGGTTTAGACACTGCGAGGAAGGATGTAGCCTCTGGACATGGCCAGGAGATATTTAGAAGTTTAATCTAGGATTTAGACAGGGCTAGGAAAAGTCTAGGACCTAGACATGGTCAGGAGATATTTAGGATCTGAATCTAGCCTTTAGACAGAGCGAGAAAGAGTCTAGGACCTAGATATGGTCGAGATATTTAGGATCTGAATCTTGGATTTAGACAGGACGAGGAAGGATCTGGACATGGTCAGGAGATGTCATGGGTTTAGACACTGCGAGGAAGGATGTAGGATCTGGACATGGCCCTGAATCTTGGATTTAGACAGGGCAAGGAAGGGTCTAGGATCTGAACATAGCCAAGGGAAGTCTAGCGTTTGAACAGGGCAATGGAGGATCTAGGATCTGGACACGGTCAGGAGAGGTCTAGGATCTGGATCTAGGGTTTAGACAGGGAAAGGAAGGATGGACATGACCGAGATATACCTAGGGTCTGGATCTAGTCAGGAGGATCTAGGATCTGGACATGTTCAGAAGAGACACATCACTATCCAAAAGAGCCAGAAGGAACATCAGCAGGGAGCTCTGTTCCAATGTTTGTGTATTTGTAGATCTTACATTGTAATGTAAGCAGCTTTGTGTCTCCTTTATGGAGAGAAAAAGCAGGATACTATTATTATTATTATTATTATTATTATTAATAATAATAATAATAAATAATAATATGAGGAGAGGTCTAGTTTTTAGACAAGTGGATCGAGATATCACCAGGAAACATGTAGGGTTTAGACAAGGCAGTGAAGGGTCTAGGATCTGGGCATGGTCAAGAGATATCTCGGATCTGGACATGGTCGGGAATCAGGTCGAGCATTCAGAGAGTGTGGAGAAGGATCTAAGATCTGGACGAATTAGAGAAAGAATGCTTAGGCGAGAAGATCCCTTCTAAAGACAGGGAAGGTCAGGCCAACCTAGAAGGACACCTAATTCCCTATTTTGTCCGGATTTTGCCCCTCTTATTTCATTTTTATTGCGTGTGTGTGGGTATTAAGCAGGCGGTAGATTCTACCCCCTGTTTGTATCCCTTTCCTCGGGAGTAAATATTTTCTCGCGTGTCAATGGAAGAGAGGGGGGAAAGTTTCCAAAGTTCCCTCTCAATTACAAATGTAGAGGTCTAGGCTGTGTAGGAAATCGGAGCAGAGGATATTAATTTAATAATAGTAATAATAATAGCAACAATAAATTATTATTATTATTATTATTATTATTATTAGTAGTAGTAGTAGTAGTAGTAGTAGTAGTATTAGGCATCCAGAAGGCTTTCCATTAAGACTATAACTCAAACATTCAGTTTTCTCTGCCCAGCAAAATCCCATTTCAGGCCAGTAAATGTGAGGAAACGCCTCGAATCTGCTTGTGTCTGTTTTGCAAAGACATAAATAAAATGTATTGTCATAAATAGAAGACAGAAAGAAAACTGAACGATGAAACGGTAGGAAGAACTCACTCCTTTTTTGAGAACTCCTTGAATTTAATTTATTGAGTTCTGGGAGAGAGAGGAAGCCGAGGAAGGAAAAGACACAAAAAATAGGACCCCCCCCCCAAAAAAAATTGAGATCCTTGCCTTTAAATTGAGCAGGGATTAGAGGGGATCTTTGAAAGCGACAACAACAAACAGGCGTTGGAAATGAATAATATTCAAGGGGGAAAGCCCTGGAAAATGCCTCCTCGGGTATGTTTGCAGCTGGAGTTCCTGAATTGCAAAAGCCCAGGTTCATCCCCTTGTTAAAAAGAGAAATAAAAGTCCCTTAAACAATCGAAAGAGTTTGAGTGCAAGTGGAGGAGAGAGAGAGAGAGAGAGAAGGGACAGAGCCGGCCTTTGCCAACTTTCTGTTGCATATAAATAGCACGACAGTTATAAAACAATAATGGCATGCATGATGAAATCTAATTAGCCCGGGCTCAACCTGGGTGAGGAGTAGTATTATCGGATATTAATTCTGGAGGCGAAATAATTCTAAGACCGGTTTTATTTACATTAATAATAATAATAATAATAATAATAATAATAATAATAATAATAATAATATATTCACCCGGACAGGTCTCTAACTGTAATGCTTGACAGTCAGAAAGGAAAATATACTCAGTGTCAGTAACACAAAAACAATAAATGATATATACCTCAAGATAGGTATTTCTTTTTGTCAAGTTGGGGTAATGGACAGAGAGGTAGAATGTAGCCTACTTATAGCATATATATACACATATATACACATATTCAAACGGTATGATATATATACCTCAAGATAGGTATTTCTTTTGTCAAGTTGGGGCAATGGACAGAGAGGCAGAATGTAGCTTACTTATGGCATATATATACACACACACACACACACACACACACACACATATATACACATACCCATAAACGATATGATATATACCTCAAGATAGGTATTTCTTTTTGCCAAGTTGAGGCAATGGACAGAGAGGCAGAATGTAGCCTAATTATGGCATATATATGCACATATATACACATACTCAAACGGTACGACATATACATCAAGATGGGTATTTCTTTTGTCAAGTTGGGGCAATGGACAGAGAGGCCGAATGTGGCATACTTATGGCATATATATACACATATATACACATACTCATAAAAGATATTATATATATCTCAAGATAGGTATTTCTTTTGTCAAGTTGGGGCAATTGACAGAGAGGCAGAATGTAGCCTACTTATGGCATATATATACACATATATACACATACTCAAACGGTATGATATATACCTCAAGATAGGTATTTCTTTTGTCAAGTTGGGGCAATGGACAGAGAGGCAGAATGTACCTTACTTATGGCATATATATACACATACTCATAAACATACATATACCTTTATATACATTTATATACCTCTCTCTCTCTCTCTCTCTATATATATATATATATACACATACTCATATACATATACCTATATATACATATATGTGTGTGTGTGTATATATGTATATGTATATGTATATGTATATGAGTATATATGTGTGTATGTGTGTGTGTGTGTGTATATGAGTATATATATGTGTGTGTGTATGTGTGTGTGTGTATGTATGTATATATACATATACATATACATATACATATACATATACATATACATATACATATACATATACATATATATATATATATATATATATATATATATATATATATAAGGCCTGTTCTAAATGGTTCTAAAGTACTTACAAAACTAAAGTTCTGGTGGTGAAAAATTCAGAACTTTGTCAAAATTTAATTATTATTTCATTATTGGCGATTTTCATGACAGAGCCAATTAGGAACTGCCATTTATATTGAAATGTTGAGAGTTTTGTTACAGTTCTGAAATATCCACCACCAGTACTTTAGTTTTGTAAGTACTTTAGAACCATTTAGAACCATGCATTGAACAGGCCATACACACACACACACACACACACACACATACAGTGTATATATTATACACACACACACACACATATATATATTTATATATATGTGTGTGTGTGAACACATACATACATACATATATACGCATATACCTATACCTATATATACATTTTATATATGTGCACAGACATATACATATTATCTATACATACTCATAAACATATACCTATACCTATATATACGTATATATGTGTGTATGTATATGTACGTAAATGAAGAGACATAGATAACAGGAAGCAAATCTGGTGAAGTGTAGAAAAATCAGGATTGATCCTCCATTCCCTTCTTGTGCTCAAAGAGGTCTAGGGAATCCGAGTGCCTTTCTGGACTTTGTCCAAACTTTAGGTCGTGACCTCCACTTCCTTTTATACATTATGCCTTTCCACAGTCTCTCCCCTCCTTTCGGCCAGATCTTCCCTCCCTGTCCGAATTCCTTGCTCTCCAAAAAGTGATCGATCACCCGCAGACAATGCTCGGGAGAGAAAAAAAAAGGACAGGCGTGGAGTGGTGCTTCATGCCCCTCTTCCCTTGTTTCCCTTCGCCAAGGCCCAGATAGAACTTTCCTTGAAGGGAAACCCCCTCCTCTGCATTATTATTAGTATTATTATTAATAATAATATTAATATTATTATTATCATGGTCATCGCAGACGATGCTGGAAAAAGACAAGCAAGGGGAAAAAACATGTCTCTTCCCTTCTCCAAGGCCCATATTGAAGAGAAACCCTCTTCCTCTGTAGTACTATTATTATTGCTATTATTAATATTATTATTATTATTATTATTATTATTATCATGATCATAGCAGACAGTGCTGGAAAAATACAAGCATGGAGTGTTTCATGCCTCTTCCCTTGTTTCCCTTCTCCAAGGGCCCATATTGAAGGGAAATATTCTTCCTATGCATTATTATTATTATTATTATTATTATTATTATTATTATTATTATTAGTGTTATTATTAGTGTTATTCGTATTATTCTTAATATTATTAACATGAACATAGCAGATAATACTGGAAAAAGGCAAGCACACACTGTTCCAGGTCCCTTCCC